TAATTATCATGCAAATTAGGTAATTAACGAGCATGGATTTTTACCAAAACCTAATCAAATCTGCGCATATGTTCAGAGCATCTATGCACCAAGTTTCATCAAAATCCAATGAGTGGTTCTTTAGATATCAGTGGAACAGTCATAGAACAGCTAAAAATTAGCTAATTATCATGCAAATTAGGTAATTAACGAGCATGGATTTTTACCAAAACCTAATCAAATCTGCGCATTGGCCCAGAGCATCTATGCACCAAGTTTCATCAAAAACCGATGTATGGTTCTTGAGATAGCAGTGGAACAGTCGGACACACATACACACACACACACACACATACACACATACACACATACACACATACACACATACAGACACACTAACTGCAAAGACTCCCATTTTGTGCTTCGCACATGGGAGTCAAAAATTGAACATGGCTGGAAAATTCTGAAAAATTATCAGAATGCTCGTTAACACAAATAAAACCCAACATCCACATGAAAGTTATTATATAATACAATATAGTGAGTTGGGTATTATGTTTCCAAAATTATCACACTATTACAGTAATAGGCATTTTAAAAAAAAACATGACTCTTTGTCAACACTTATGATAGTAGTATAATCCAAGAAAAGATTTTGAAATTGACACATAGCAACGTGATATGAACAGCTATTTTGTAGAGCATGTTATAATGGGATTATAAATAATACAGTCAGATAATTTATTTTAGCTGGGATTAATTTTCGCTGAAAAGACTTTTTGGGTGTTTTGTAAGGAATTTATTCCCACTAATTCTTGATGATTTAAGTGTAAAATATAGGAAAAATGTATATTCACTGGATTTTAATTTCAGTGAATTATCCCTTCAGCGAAAATAGCGAAAATAAATTCCAAACGAAAATAAAGTATTTTTACAGTATTTGATAGCTACCAAGTAACAACCCTTTTATAACTGCTGAAAGAAGCGCCCCGAGATAGAATAGTTATTTAATACTGTAAAATACTTTATTTTAGCTGGTATTGATTTTCGCTGAAACGATTTTTTGGGTGTTTTGTATGGAATTTATTTTTACTGATTTTGACAAGTTCAATGTAAAATACTAGTATAGGAGAAAGGGTATATTCGCTGGATTTTATTTTCACTGAATCATTTCTTCAGTGAAATTAGCGAAAATTAATTCCAAGCAAAAATATAGTATTTTACAGTAGTACATGTACATTATTATAACTTCCCATGACGCATTGCAGGTCATCTCATACAAGTTCCCTAACTGTTAAAATAACATGATTATAAGCTCACCGGATGTAATCTGTCTACTTTCCATCAGCCTGCTTTTTTCTGGAACTGCTTCTCCCTGTTTATACAGATAGTTCAAAGTCAGCTTGTCCATAGTTAGTTGCTGTCCATAGTCTTGGCACAAATCAAGCACGTCCTTGATAATATCCTGATCTTCTCTTTCCAAGTCAATATTGTTCATATTCTTATACATTCCTGTATAGATAATATTATTAATCTTTACATGAAAATTTAAAATTGTACTGGCACCATGCATTAAAGTACTAAAAGTATTGTTAAATGTAAAATAATACCGTAAAATTTGTTTTAGAAGCCGCATCCATAATAGAAGTCGCACCAATTTTTTTTTGAATAATTGAGAACCAAAAAGTCATCATTTCTCATATGTGTAGAAGCCGCATTCCCTCTGTTGCATACAGATTTTACAGTACTTAATATTTAACCTTATGATTCATTCTCATGTCAGATATTTTACAAGTATTAAAATGCTTATATCAAAAGAACTCTGTTTAGTGTAATTTTGTGTAATAAGTGTTCATAAATTTGTTTTACTGATTTTCGCTATAGTAAGATTATACTGTAACTGTTTTTTGCAGTGAATTTGTTGATGTCACTTGTGACTGTATATTCATGGCAGGATGTTTTAACAATATTCCATAATTATTTAATGCTTATTATCCTATCATGCCAATTTGTATGTATTACCTTTCAATTTTAAAAGCTATGCTAAAATTATGAATTGCAATTTATCTGTCATGTTTGATTTTTTTTTTTAAATTAAAACATTAAAAGAAAACTAGTACAGTTTTTGAGTTTAGTTGTGAAATGTAGTGATTTTTGGGATTTTTTTTCATGGATTACTAAAAATGAAACCCAAATGAACAAATGATGTTTACATTAATATTAAAATACTCAGACAAGGCTAACAACATTATATTCCCAGATGAAA